CACACTCACACAAACATAATAAACACACAGACACACACACTCACACACACACACACACACACACACACACTCACACAAACATAATAAACACACAGACACACACACTCACACACACACACACACACACACACACACTCACACAAACATAATAAACACACAGACACACACACTCACACAAACTAACACACATGTGATAATGACGATAAAGATGATGAAAAAATCCCTTTCCAAGGTCAAACTGCGATGCTGACAGTTGCAGCCATGAGAGCACTGACAAAGGGAAGGAAGATTACAAATCTACTGTGGAGAAATCTTCGGTCGACACGACACGATACGACACGACACGACACGACACGACATGACAAGACACGACACGACACGACACGACACGACACGACACGACACGACACGACACGACATGATATGACACGACACGACACGACATGATATGACACGACACGACATGACATGACACGACTCGACTCGATACGATCCGACCCGATCCAACACGATATCACAGATTATATATCCGAACTTACACGGCCACTCTCCATCTCACTCTACATGTACGTCTTACTTTCGTCTTCCTCTTTCTCCTTTCTGTCGGGTTTATCGTTTCTGCTTTTCTCTCGGCTGGCCTGTTCGTACCTGGGCTGTTGCTCTGGGAAGGGAAACAAGTGGCCGTCTAAGACAGGTGACCGTCTAAGACAGGCGGACGTCTAAGACAGGTGGACGTCTAAGACAGGTGGTAAGACAGGTGGACGTCTAAGACAGATGGACGTCTAAGACAGGTGGTAAGACAGGTGTCCGTCTAAGACAGGTGGACGCCTAAGACAGGTGGACGTCTAAGACAGGTGGACGTCTAAGACAGGTGGACGTCTAAGACAGGTGGACGTCTAAGACAGGTGACGGTCTAAGACAGGTGGACGTCTAAGACAGGTGGACGTCTAAGACATGTGGACGCCTAAGACAGGTGGCGGTATAAGACAGGTGGTAAGACAGGTGGACGTCTAAGACATGTGGACGTCTAAGACAGGTGGACGCCTAAGACAGGTGGCGGTATAAGACAGGTGGTAAGACAGGTGGACGTCTAAGACAAGTGATAAGACAGGTGGCCGTCTAAGACAAGTGACCGTCTCAGACAGGTGATAAGACAGGTGGCCGTCTAAGACAGGTGGTAAGACAGGTGGACGTTTAAGACAGGTGGAAATGTAAGACAGGTGGACGTCTTAGGCAGGATTGGTGGACACGAAGAAAACAAACCATTCCCTTTTGAGGTATCAACAGGAGGTGGTTACAGGCTTAGGGCAGCCGTGGGTGAGAAATGGTGAAATGGTACAGGCTTAACGCCCCTATCAACACTATTAGCTTATTTAAGAGGCGGGACCTACGAGTTTAACGTCCATCTCCGAAAGGACCGAGTCGAGCGGGAAATTCGTGTAAAGTACCTTTCCCAAGTACACAACGTCGGACCGAGCTGAGGCTCGAACTTCCGTACCCACAATCTCGCGATTACGAGTTGGGTAGCCTAACCACTTGGCCACCGATGCTACTGGTCTGCCGTTTAGCTAATCAACATTGATGTTTTTTCAAAAAAAGATTTCCTTCTGAGATCCCAACTGGAGTTCGTTGCAGGCTCCGGACATGGGTTACATTTTTACATTGATGACGTCATCGGCGGCTGGATTTCTTTGAATGTGTGAAACATTTTTGAGCACGCAGAGAGATGAAGTCTAGAGAGTGTTGTAATAAATGTTATAATTATTCTACAAAGTATATCAAATGAGGAAGACAGTGTGCGAGGGTAAAACAAAACGAAATGTGTCAGACGAGGAACACAAGGTAAACTAAACTAATGGGTCGCCACCACTCGGAGAACGAGCGACGCTTCTGGCACAAGTTCATGTTCACGTCCATTGTTCAAGACTGGGTAAACAGTGACCGGTCACCTCACTTACGATTTTTGTGTGAGTTGTGGGCGGGGCTTGTAGGTTAGGACGGACCACACGCTTCCTTCACCATCCGCTGAACATTTATTGTTACCGGGTGGTCAACTTGGGTAAACAACAGTGGGTGGGACCTACCCAACATGATGGGACATTGGAGGGTGGGACCTACCCAACATGATGGGACATTGGAGGGTGGGACCTACCCAACATGATCGGACATTGGAGGGTGGGACCTACCCAACATGATGGGACATTGGAGGGTGGGACCTACCCAACATGATGGGACATTGGAGGGTGGGACCTACCCAACATGATCGGACATTGGAGGGTGGGAACTACTTAACATGATCGGACATTGGAGGGACTCACAATAACAACAGGTGAAAGGATTATGACGGCTCGTCCTCAGCTTCAGGGGCCAATACATAATGCGTGACCACGTCATGACTTTGACTAGCGCTTGGCATCAGAAGGACGCCACACATGCACACATTTCAGAATCTAGATTGTGCCTAGCGGGAGAGAACAAAGAGCTCACCTTTCAGAGTTCTGTTGGTCTGCATGAAGAACACAAAGAGCTCACCTTTCAGGGTCTTGTTGGTCTGCATGTAGACCCGGCACAAGCAGGCGAGGACGACCAGACTGGTGAGAATGACCAGGACTATCAGGACCAGGGCGGCTATCATTATGGGGGTCAGGGACCATTCTTCGTCATCATCTGATACAGGAACACAGACGGTTGGAGGTGGGTGGGGAAGGGTGAAGGGGGGAGGAGTACGGAGGGTTAAGGGGCGAGTGTGGTAGTGTTTGTATGTTTGTATGTTTGTTTGTTTGTTTGTTTGTTTGTTTTCTGGTTTGTTTCCTTTGTCTTTGTCTTTGTTTGCTTTTCATAAAAATATTGGTAGAAAAACAAGCATTGGCGTAACGATACATACGTATTAATATCATATACAAATTATGTCACTTTGCGTTTTATTCGACAGCTCGTATTTTTTGTTTTCTTTGAGTGTTTTTTTCGGTTAGTTTGTTTGTGTTTTTTGAAAATATAGAGCAGAATGTGGACACAATAACGACCTTGTACCGCAGGGAAAAACTTTCATTTCATTTCACTGACAGTTTCACGGTACTTGCACTACCAACAGGTCATGAAGGTGCCGGAGAACGGATGTGTTACTAGAGAGTGGCGTGTAGAGACACGAAGGAAGGGAGAAAAGGAAAATAATTATGCTCGATTGATAGAAAAGTCGTAAATCGCACCAGAGCACCGCCCAACCATCCATGGGGGCTTTACAAATCATGGCATTGTCGTATGTCAAAAGAAACTGTTATTTCGAGCAGGGCATTATATTATTACTACAAATATTTAATTCTTCAAATCTGTAACTGTTCCGAGAAAAGGCACGAGACCAGGACTAATTGACACCCCTCACCAAACTCTACACAATTCAGGGTGAACAAAAAAACACCAACAACACTGTACAACTTTTTTTGATAGCATTTTTCTCAACACTGTACAACTTTTTTTGATAGACTTTTTCTCAACACTGAAGTTTTGTGTTTCAAATTTGCAGACAAATTTTGGAAGTCAAAAGGAATTTGTCTGATATACATTTTTGATAAATTCACAGAACAGTTTTGCTCTACAAAACCCATTTTCATCTATGTCCCCATTTTTTGTAGCATGACGCACTAGTTCACATAAGGCCTACCACTAAAAATCCCAACCATTGAGATATATTACAGTAGTCTAACAGGCTAACATAAGTTTGAGGATAGTTTTTCTTAAGGGGGGGGGCTGCACCTGGAGGCCATCTCGCTTATTACATGACCGAATTTTACCAAATTTCCCACATATAACAAGCATAGTAAGGAGTCTTTAAATCCGCAATCAAATTTGAGAAAAAAGTTTCGTTTCAATGGATACGCCGCCATATTGGATTTTATTGACGTGTCTTACGTAATGAATACCGCACTTATCGCTCATGGAAATTGATTGGTTTTTTTCATGCATGTTTACAAACATTAGATCTAAAAATTAGTCTGTTGTTTTTTTTCCTAATCGAATTAGAAAATTTTTAATGAATCTTTTCCTGAGGTAGCATTCAAGTTTGCGAAAAATCCGTGAAAATCCACACTCCAGACACCACCAACAAAAATCTATTTCATATATAAAAAATTCAACAGACAAATTTTTAGTATTACCTCTTCTCTTCATTCTGTGAAAATTTCATGAAGATTGGATGAAAAATGGTGGAGTTAATAAAAAAAAGTATAGAGAAAAGTCGCATTTTGAGAAAAAGGCCAATAAAGAAAAATAAAATACTGACTTTATGAGGAAATGGCGGTTACAAACATGCCCAATATGGGAAAAATTACGGATTTTGGGGGTTCTTATGCCATGAAATAGTTGTAGGAGAAGCTGAGGAAGCTAAATATGCCTACAACTTAAAGCCATGATTTTGAGTCGAATTTTGATTTTGGGGGTGTAGCACCCCCCCCCCCCGCCCCCTTAAGAGTCCTTTGCCTGCTGCAATCATGGTTCAGATTAGTAAAGAGCAGAGAGCTCTTTATATTGAATATTTCCTCACCACCGACTCCTTTCGTAAGTTTCTCACAAGGTAGGGAAATAATGTTCAAGTGCCCTTAAGGCCGTCTTTGATGTCAAAAATGGAAAGAGTCCATCCCTTAAGACCTGTAGAGAATCGGAACTTAAAATTCCCAGACAAAACGACCATTTCAGGTCAAACACACACCATTCACACCCCTTTAAACGTCACCAGGGTGCAGGATTCAGTAGATGAGCCCCATGAGACTTCTGTTCGTAGACGATATCTGCAGCAATGACTCACTTACATCTCAACGGTCCACATTCTCAAGGCAGATCTTCATCTACGACTGTACCATTTTCCTGTTCGCAGAGCTATCAGAGGATAACAATGTGTTCATGATTCCTCGATCGTCTTGGAAACCGTGAACATGCCTCTATGACATTTGGCTCCTTGGCAAAGCCCATAATATTCACCCACTTTTCAGGTTATATCAACTCCACAAATGCTGTCTATTTGGGCAACCTCAC